CGTCTTTTGCCATTTAATCTCATGTGCATGCGCTTCCAATGTTATGATTCCATCTACCATGATGTCTTCACCAGAGCCCAGCAAAAGCTGGCACCATTCTCTTGAACCCCAGAACTGTCAGCTAAATAAATCTCTTCTCTTTAAGCATCACCSAGCTTCAGGTATCCTGTTATAGCAAACTAATACAAAGATCTGTAAGAGACAGTAAAYTAATACAGATATCTGTAAGAGAAGCCTCACCAACAAAGGGTGCTCTCAGAAATAATATGGATCAATAAATTTAAAGAAATTACCCTTCCCTGCCCCCAAATTAGAAACTGATTAAAACAATTGCTTAAGAAGGCCACTTACTGAAGGACTTAAAAATATGTCTCGTGATCAGGGGATTTATCAGACGTATTAAAAGAAGACATGTGGGACTGATTTCCAAAATAGGAAAGCATTATTTCCCTGGAAAGAATCCAGGGAAAACATAGAACTGGGAATTTCAATATTTTGCAAGAAAATGGAACAGATCTTAAGAGAGAAAGGTTTGGTGAGTGTAGGTCTRACAACAGGATGATGAGATGTTAACATGGCGTGTTTATGAGAAACTGAGCTCGCCCCAAACACTTGATCTCTCTGAACATTTCAGTCTCGGGGCTGGCAAATGAGGTAGCTTCAAACCATTTCAACTATCTTCATTTTGGTGATGGATTTGATGTGAAGACTGGAACCGAGTGTGCCGCAGCAGGAACTGGAAAGTGACCGGCAGGCCCACAGCTACATGGCACTGCCTCAAACCAGGACAGGAGGTTTCCAGCAAAGCATCAAAGAATCTCTCTGGCCGCGGTGGCTTTGCCGATGTACCAGGAAGGAAATCAAACAGCAGAGTACTAGATGGGGGAGTCCGGGTTTAAGAACAACCCACGTGATAGAGGCCTGGACGGGTCAGCAGAGTGTGTGGTCAGTGTGAGACACACTCTGCACACTTGGGCAGCTGGACCTGACATGGAGAAGTGGCATCCTCAGAGCCCAGCTGGCAGGGTGCTGTCCTTTCAGGCACTGACAAGGGAAGACTGTTCAGAAGAGACTCCCGGGGCAGAGGAGACTGGCAAAAATGTGCAGGATGTTAAACCAGAATAAGAGAGGCATTGGGGACAACATGAGTACCTTCTTCGTAAAGAGCTGATTACAGATCAGAGACTAATGTGGCTCGAACTGTGCTCTTCCTGGATTTATATATTGAAAATCAAACCCAAATCCTCCTAGAAGAAGACCTTATTTAAAACTTGGTCAGTTAAGATGAAGTCATACTAGAGTAGAGGTGGGCCCCTGAWGCAACATCACTTGTCCTTAAAGAAAGAGAAATTTGGAAGACAGACATGCACACAGAGAGACTGTCCAGTGGAGATAAAGGCAAAGATCTACACCCAGGGAGCAGCAGTGGTTGTCAGTGAGCCACCAGAGCTCAGAGAAAGGAGGGATGGGTCAGGTTACCCCTCACAGCTCTCGGAAGGAGCCAGGCCTGAGGATCCTTTGATGCTGACTTCTAGCCTACAGAAGGGTGAGGCAGTAAGTTTCTGTTGCTTGTGCAGCCCACTTGTGGTACTTCATTATGGAGCTCTACTCAACTAATACAGGACTGAAGTCTTTAGGTGGGAGACGGCAGACCATTGTTGTGGAGGGGTCTGGTATCTTGGGGAGCCAGATTAAACACAAGGTACAAAGAATTCCTTCCTAACACTTCAGCTGCCCAGGAGTGGCTGGCCAAGTGGCCCTTCTGTGCAGTGCATTTCCTAGATTTGAGGATGTTTTAGTGGAGACGGGATAATCACCTGCTGGGGGCATTTCAGGGAAACTCCTGCCTTGGGAGCAAAGTGAGAGACAGGCAACTCCAAGATTTCCTCCAATTGTAAAATTTATGTTTCCAACTCCTAAAGCATTCAATGACAAAAAAAAAAAAGTAAAACTGGGGATTGTCCTTTCTCTGGAAAGGACTGAATCTAACGATTACACGTATAAAAAAAGTGCAGGTATTATTTTTACACTTATCATAAGATCTACCTCCTTAGCAAAATTTTAAGTATATGGTACAGTATTGTTAACTAYAGGCACACCGCTGTGCAGTAGAGCTCCTGGACTTAACTCATGTTGAATAACTGAAATCTTGAACCTCTTGACCAACAGCTCCCTGTTTCTCTCTTTTCCCAGATCCTGGCAACCACCATTCTACTTTCTGCTTCTCTGAGCTTGACCATTTTAGAGCCCTRATGTAAGTAAAAYCMTGCAGTATTTGTTCTTCTGTGACTGGCGTTTTTTCATTTAGTGTAATGTCCTCCAGGTTCATCATGTTGTCACAAGTGGCAGGATTTCCTTCTTTTTAAAAGCCATAGAGTATTCCATTCTGTGCACATACCACATTTACTTTATCCATTCATCTGTCAATGCACACTGAGGTTGCCTTCATGTCCTGGCTACAGTGAATGTTGCTACAATGAACATGGCAATGCAGATAGCTCTTTGAGATCCTGATTTCAATTTTTTACATAAAATGCAGGTATTAATGAGGCAAAACACTAATTAAGGACTGTGATACTGAAGATGAAGGAGCACTGAATTAAAGATTCATCATACAAAGTGGCTGCAAAACAGGGTGGTATAATCTGAACATTTCCTGTAGAAGTTACAAGCCTGAAGTTTCAAGTCAGGCTGTTTCCTGTCCTAAGAGCTTTGTGGCCTTGTTCTGTCTGTGTGTCTTCTTTGAGCAAGAGTTTCCTCATCTGTAGAGTGGGTCAACATCACCTGGCTAGTGTCAGGAGGATGATAAGAGATAATTAGTGAAAAGTGTGGGGCGCATTATAAGCAATCAGAAAGGGGTTACAGTTCTTATCAGAAATTATTGTCCCCAGTGCCCAAACTGAAGGTTTCTCCCCCTGCCCCCATCACACACACACACACACACACACACACACACACACACACACACTGAGGTAGGGCAGGGATGACAAAATAAAATTTTTAAAGGAAATTTCCTTGTGAGAATCCATGATAATCTTTCCTATATAAAGGAAAAGGAAGAGTAGGTTTTTTTTTTTTTAAAGCCAAATCCATTTTAGTCAGCTTTCCATCACTAACCAAATACCTGAGATAACCAACTTCAAGRAGAAAAGGCTTATTATGGCTCATGGTTTCAGAGATTTCAGTCAATGGTCACTTGGCTCAGCTGCTTTGGTCCTGTGGTGGCACAGTAAGTACATCATGGCAGTGGGAACATGTGACAGAAAGTACTCACCTTATGGAGGCTGGGAAGAGAAAGTGAGAGACAAAGAGGGGCCAGCATCGCTTAGACGGCCTTAGAGAACACCCTGACTTCCACTGGGCCCCGCCTCTKGAAGKTTCCATCACCTTCCAACAGGGCCACAGGCTGGCAACCAAGCTTTAACACGTGGCTTTTGGGGGATATTCCAGATTSAAACGATGGCACATATTTTAGTCAAATAATTGGGAACCATGGTTTGCTACTTYACTGCACACATATTCAAGTGAAATGGTGTATTTTAAGCTTTGTTTGTTTTGTTTTGGGTACCTRGGATTCAACCCAGGAGACAGTTAACAATTGAACCACATCCCCAGCCGTTTTTTTGTTTCATTTAGAGACAGGGTCTCCCTAAGTTGCTTAGTGCCTCACTAAATTGCTGAGGCTGGCTTTGAACCTGTGATCCTCCAGCCTCAGTCTCCCGAGCTGCTGGGATTACAGGCATGCACCGCCATGCCTGGCTATATTTTAGTTTTTTTTATGGATAGCCAGATCATTTGGARGGACTGAAAGCTAGATCATATTTGAGACCTTGAACTTGGACAAACTTCTTTGGTTCCTGGTTTTTACATCTGTAAAACAGATCCAGCCTGGCCTACCTCACCAAGTTGATGGGGTGACCAAATGGGACCAGGCTGGGAAAAGTGTTAGGTGGCTGGCAGATGAGCATGGTACCATGGCGTCCTCGCTGCTTTCKAAAGGGGATTTTAGGTGCCTACTCCACCCCTAAGTATAGATGCCCTAAATACCAGGGGAAAGCAAGGGGCAATTTATCCTGATAGAGTCAGTCAAAACCAGGAATAGTGCGTGAAATTAAGGTAGATGAGGCTTTAAAGAAAGGAAAAACCTGTGTTCAGCAGGATCCTTTAGGTAATGAAGTGGTCTCTAAGGAAAGTTGAAGAAGATCTCCGTTGAAAGAAACACTGAAATGGGGGCATCAGTTCTGCCCACGGAAAGATGGGTGCCTCAGAGCTGAAAACCCTCTTAGTCTTCATGGCTTCTTCTCTTTTAATTGCATGCTTCCAAAGGATGCTCCTTAATCCAAACCTCTCTTTATCTGAAGCTCTGATGGGTTCATGGTATGGTTTAAATCGGCTCATGGTTGTCATATGTGGTGATAGAGGCACTCACCATCTTTCTCCTCTGGCCACCCTCAGCACCTTCCTGTCACCCCACTCCATGTCTGCGGTGGGCCTTCTGCAGCCTGGCCCGACTCCTCTGCCTGGGTGTCAGCCTCCTCATTAGGCATGCTCTGGAGCTGGCTGGTGTCAGGGCTGGCCGATGCWTCAGAATGCAGGGCATGCCTCAAGCTCCTGGGAAGCTGCACATTCTGCATGAAATATGAAGGCAACAGCCAGCCCAGGGGAGACCCAGGGTGGATTTAGTGAAATAGCAGCGAAGGTGGCTACTGGGGGAGGGGGTTCTGCAGGGTCAGAAGGAGGGTGTAGGTACCCGTCACATATTTTAAAGGCACTGTTTGGTGGGGGAGAGGGGTGCAGGGAGGGAAACCTGGTTTATGTATCCTCTGGGCAGCTCCTGACACACACTCCCCCGGCACATTCTTTCTGMATATGCTCACGGTATATCTGTGATTATGGTGATGTGCCCTTTTGAGATAGGCAGCCAGCTCCCTCTCCCGCTGTGCTCATCACTGATTCTTGAGTTTCTCTTTGGGGACAACCTGAAATCATAGGAGCAGTCCATGTGGATTTCGGACTACCTGACAGTAAGAAGCATAATAAAAAGTAATGATTGTCCAGCAAGCCCTGGGGATGCTTGTCACACACCACCTTGGGCCTGCAGAGGTTAAGCATGCTTAACAAGCAGTGGCCGTGCATGGCTCTGAGGTCTAACATTAAAGTGTATCCTCATCTTTCTCCCAGTCTCCAGCCAAGGCTCCAGCTGGAGTTCCAGGCAGCCATTCTGAGAGGTGGAGAAAACCATTCATCCCCTCCCAAAGCRCTAAGAGCCTGCTGTGTGTCTTGGACACATTATGGTGTGATGTTCTGAGTACATGTCCCTTAGAAGCCTTAACCACTGAACGGTGGTGGATGTCTGTGCAGATGTCCACCCTAGTCACTCTGTCTATGAAGCAGAAACACTGTGGTATTTGTTTCTACATAACCAAAACATTTGCACATTATAGGTAATTGATAAATATCAAATAAATCATGTTGAATGAGACCTCCCTCCCACCTCACTGCACATCCAAGCTATTAAGGAAACAAGTTTAGTTGTCCCACCAAAAAGGAAGCCATTTTTCTTCCCGAACACAAAAATCACAATAATCAAAGGGTTCGTTTTAGTGTCGTCAGACAGGGTATAATTACATTTCATATCATTGATTATAGTTGACACTACCTTCTCTTGATCAGAGAACACTCTATCTGTCTTTCCATATCTACATTTTCCCCTTAATAAAGAGCCCCATGCCAGGCATGGTGGTGCACACRTGTAATTCCAGCAGCTCCRGCAGCTCCGGAGGCTGAGGTGGGAGGATCGAAAGTTCAAAGCCAGCTTCAGCGACTGAGGAAGACCCTGTGTCAAAATAAAAAATAAAAAAAGGGCTGGGTATATGGCTCAGTGGTGAAGCAGTGTCCCGGRGTTCAATCCCTGGTACCAAAAAAATAAATAAATAAAAATAAAAAGCCTCCTGGGCTCCTTGAGGGCCTTGACAACAGATGCCAAGAGCAGCGGTGTCACACTGCTCACCCCATCTAGGATGGAAATAGTTTGCATCCCTTCTGTGTCAGATGGATGGAGAATTTTCTGCAAGGAGCCCCAAAGCCATGGTATCTCTTCAGAGGCCAACGTTAATTGACAGTGCTATCTGCTCCATGTCTCCAGGAGGGACCATTCACTAGGGCAGTGAAGCTGTCCTTTAGGCTGGAAGGTAGTGAGATAATATACATGTCCATCTTGTACGTGAGAACCTTCAACAAGTATGATTATATTTGGCAACTTTCTGTTAATTTTGCAAAGAAATTGGCTTTATTTGTGAACTGAGAGGATGCTATACTTCTGTTTGGTTCATGACATAGAAGAGTAGAAGGCAACAAGCAACCAAAATGTCGGCCTCCTGCAAGACTCTAAGCTCTAAGGAGCCRGGCATCATCTGTCTCATTCACTGCTGTGTCTCCAGTGACTAGAACAAACCCAGCACACAGAAGGCACTCAGCAAAACACCCGGATGACTACTGAAAAGAAAGTACAACACCTTCCGCTATAGGGTTGAGTCAGTTAGTATCTTCCCTGGCTTTCGTATTCAGATGTGGGAGAGGGAATTTCTCTTTCTGMTGGGCTGCTAAGCTGGGAGGAGGAAGCTAATCAGAAAGAGGAAAGAAGTAGGCTATCAGACAAAATGAAGAGAGTGAGGGAGGGATGGAGAGAGAGAGTACAAACAAGTTATCCCTAACAACATAGGGATTACTTTGTGTAATCAGCCMCAGCTGAATAGCTAACCCAGAATATCTTGGTTATATCAACCAATAAATTTCTTGTTTATTTATTTGCTTAAGAATATAGAGGAGGGTTTCCATTGCTTAAAACCAAAAATGATCTGACCGATGCACTTGTTTCATACCATCCTTATTTACTTTCAAAGCTATTCATTACCCTAGGCTAACAAGCGGTTTTCTATTTATGTTTACTGCATGTGCATCTTCTTAATGTCTCTTTTCATGTAGAGGTCCATCTCATTTGCTTTCTCTAAGCAGACCTGTGTTTAAGCCACACACTCAGGGCAGATGTATTGTTCTCATACACAGAATCTAGAGAGAGGGAATTCTTCAAATTCCTGGATTTTGGAGTTTACYGTTCCCATTGGTGACAGATCCTGCAACTCTAAAACACCCAGTGCCTCTACAGCTCACRTTAACTCTGCAGTGGACCTTGGCAAGGGTGCCTGGCTCTGTCCTCAGCTCTGCTGGTGCAGCCCTCAATTACCAGTAGCTTGTTTTATAAGAGGGGCTAGACAGCTAGATGGCCAAAGGTAAGGGAAAAAGTTAGTCATTTCTTGGACATCTTCTATGTCACAAACACTGTCCATGGCAGTGCACATCCCTGGGAGATAAATAGCATTATTCATCTGTAGTTGGGGACACTAAATCTCAGAGTAGTTTGRCAGTCACTTGTTTCAGGGACTGAGCTACTTAAGTGACAAGGCAGGTCTGTCTAATCTGAGAGTGTCCATGCTTTTTCTCCTGCCACTGAGTTGCCTCCTGGGGCCATATTGTGATTTGCTTCATGAAGTCTAGACCACTCAGCACCATGTTGGCCACACTGTRAGCCCAATGATGACAGCTCTGTGTTTATTGCCATTTCATACTAACATAATGAGGAGGGAATGTTATAGACCACCCTCTCCATAGTGCAAGAGAATTGTTTGACATGGAGATGCTCAGAAACAAGAGAAGTGTGGAGTCCAATTTCCTTCCTCTGTGGCCCACCCAGCCTCTGGGGTTGCGTGTACAGTCTGGGAAGGCGTTCTGTTCCTGAAAAGGCAGGGATGCCTCTGGCTGGGTGACAGCCACTGGCCCACCTCATTTTTGTTTGCAGGTGTTGGAAAGAGGATGCAGCCATCCCCAACCCTCAACAGGGAAGGTTGGAAAATGCTGCACTGTGCATGGGTGAGTATGCACATGTGTGTATGTGTGGTCTTTGGAGCAAGGGCCGGGCAGGGACCAGTCTGCAAAACAACATTAAGAAACCGAAACATTTTCCACTGAGAAATAGAATTACTGCCCATGGAATTCTTACCCAGCCCGAGAAGCAAGCAGCAGCCCCTCCTTTTCATTAGTTAAACAAAGAGGGTTATTTTTCAAATGAAAACTTTCGATGTGGAAAACAATCTAATTCCCGGGGCTTTTCGAGAAGTGAGATTCTCAGTTCTCTAATAAACATGTCTGTGTGGACGTGCAGCTGCAAAGGGCAGTGTGGTACCCTCATCAAACAATATGGCAGGCCTGGTCAGCGGGGACACAGGGACTGAGCTTCAGGCCTCTCAAAACAATCCCAGGTAGAAAGGCCAACAGAGRGACTGAACCACTGCCCGGGAAGAGTTCAGCTGTTCTGTGAGGGGGAAAAAAAGTGAAAATACAAATATTTTCTGTAAGTCCATTAAATGATCTTCTTTCTTCCTCCAAGGCAATGAACTCCTTCTGGTTGGAAAATAATCTGCAGACTCCAGCCTGTTTGGTTCAGTGGGGTGTGTTCTGCCTTATTGAACTGCTGGCCTTTCGAGTCCTCCCAAACAAAAACCAGCTTCCACTCACAGACCCGAGGGGTAATGTCACGGCTTTCTCATGAGGTGTCCCCCTTCATGGAAGTTCCTACGCCCCTGCATTTGTTTAAGAGCAGGGAAGAATACTCAGGCAGACTGCCAGGCTCCACATTCTGACTCCCTCACTTAGCGGTGTGCGCATGTTCTCTCTGGGCCATCTGCAAAGGAGAAGAACAGTGCTACCTGCATCAGAGAACCAGCGTGAAGGTTAAATGAGACAGTGCTTACAACGCTCTGAGCACCATTTCTGGGTAAAGGAAGAGCTCAATTGTGTGGCCATTATTATGGAGCTAAAGGGACCTGGCATATGTTCATAGGCCTAAGCTTTTTAAATTAATAAATATCATTCTTTGAGGTTTCTACTTTTCCCATCTCACTTGCAGAGAGCATGTTGTTTAAAAAAATAAAAAGCAGGCACAAAATAGCTGCTCTTCAAGTCGGAGCTTCCTTCTCTAATCAGTCCATGAATGTTTCGGGGAGTGCTCTATTTAACTTGGCTGGCCCCTGGTTTTGCCGTGAGTAATACGCTGGGCTTAATTTCAAACTCTACACAGCCAAGACGACTGGATACTTGAGCTTCCCTGAGCTGAGTTGATACAGCTGCTCTGCCCCTGGTCACTGRTGTGTTGTCCCTGTGGATTCCAAAGGGTCTCAACACATAACAGGTCAAGGTGCAGGGGCCAGCCACAGTGGTCAAGGATGTGGGTTAGCGCCCAAATGAGACAAGGCTGAGGAGATCTGGGGAGCCCCATAGGGGAGTCAGAGGAAGCGGAGACAGAAAGAGGATGGCCAGACAATATGGAGAGCAAGGGCTGGGCGGTGTGTGGGGACAATGATGTTCCTTGAAGCCTCCTTGCTCCTAGAAGGGAGCACAGAAGGTGAGAATAAACCTTCCTGTTTATGAGGACATGATAAACAAAGGGCACCGAAGCTCCCCAGATGAGGATTTCTGAAACCAATTAGCTCAGACAGCAGATACTTGCTTTAAAAAGAATTGAGTATGGCTTTCTTTTAAACACAGACTTCATTACAAATAAAACTGAATAAACGGAATTCAATTTGGACATGTTTTTCCCCAGAAACTCAGCTCTGGCATGAAACAGGACTTGCCTGGGGCCACTTGAGACCATGGTCTGCAGAGTGACAGTGTGCATAGACAAATGGAGCAGAGTGTTCTTTCTGAGGCCAGCTTACCCTCAGCGACAGGCGGGCTGGTTCGCAGGTCCAGGAGGCTAATGACTATTTAGTGCTTGCTCTCCGGCTGGGAAATGTCTCCTTGGCTTCTGAAGTAGAAACACCCTCACCTTAAAAGGTTTGGATTGATGATCTGGGTCTAATAAAAGCCGCTTCTCAAGTCTGTTGGGAAACCCAAGCATTTCAAAAGTGAAAGATAATGAAGATGTTCTAGAAGCAATATGATTATGAGTGTACATTGTAAATGATAATTACAATTAATCATATTAGCCTTCATAATCTCCCAACATTTTTTATTGAATACTGGTACATTCATCTTCCCCATGTTCTTCTGAAGGATTTTTTTTTTTTTTTTTTGCTTCAAACTGCACATTTTCCCTTGAATTTGATTTGGGTACTGTTTGATTTCTGACTGATTTTTCTATATCCTGAAGATGGACAGGTGATGGGGAATGAATGGGATATCATATGAAGCTGGAGAATCCTGATGCTCTGTAAGTTCTAGAACTTCAGAATAAACTTGGCCCCTGAATRAAGCTCCTGAGCGGCTCATCTGGTCACTTCAGTACTGTCACAATATTGTCACAGTATTGAGATAGATGGTATTTTCGTAGATATAAAACTCCTGAAAAAATTATTACTAAGCCAAAGCTGCAGATATATTAAAGGGGTCAAACAGCATAACCAAGCCAACTTTATTTCAGAAATGCAAGKTTGGTTTAACACTTCAGAATCAATCAATATAATTTATCACAGTAAAGAAGAAGAAAAATCATATGAGCAACTCAAAAGATGAATAGAAATCATTTTATAAAATGCTCAGTACTTGTTCATGATTAAAAAACAATTGTATTCTACAACAAACATTAGAAAATAATAATTTAAACTTGATATCATTTATAATGATATTTTAAAAATCAAAAATGCCTAGACAGGAATAAATTTAGCAAAAGTTATGAGCCTGGGTAATTAATAAAAATGACATTACAGAAAATATTTTTAAAGATTTAAATAAATGAAAAGATACACCCTGTAAATTAYATTGAAAGACTCAATATTGTAAAAATGTTAAAGCTCTCCAAATTGACCTATTGCCTTGGGGCAATACCAGTCAAAATCCCAGCAGGTGTTTATCTCCTCCCACCTTTTTTCCCCCATTTATCCCCTTCCTTTTCTTTCTTAATTTTTTTTTTTGAGAAAAATTGGTAAGCTAATTCTAAAATGTATAAGGAAATGCAAAGGGCCAAAAATGGTCAAGACAAGATTGAAAAAGAAGGAAGTTGAAGGACTTGTACTAGTAGATATCAAAAATAATTATTAAGCAACTACATTTAAGGCAGTGTGATATTGGCATAAAGAGAGATAAGTAGATCCTTGGAACAGATTTGAAAGTTCAGTAACAGCTATAGATAAATCACTTGCTGCACAACAGGTACAATGTAGTATGTAAAGAATAATCTTTTAAATAAATGGTTTAAGAGCTAGATATTTGTCTCAGTGGTAGAGTGCTTGACTAACATGGGTGAGGCCTGGGTTCAATACCCAGCACAATCAATCAATCAATCAATCAATAAAAATTAAAATAAGTAGTTAATTGGATTTCCAAAAGGAAAAAAAATGCTTTGATTCTTATCTCATAGCAAACACAAAAGTCAATTGTAGATGGAGCGTAGATCTAAGTGTAAAAGTTTACACTTCTAAAATACAGTATAGGAGAATAGCTTCATGAGTTTGGGATAGGTATATCTAAACAAGATAAAACAGTCACTAACCATATAATGAAAGACTGATAAATTAGTCATCTTGAAATTAAGAACTTCCTATGAAAAAAAAAAAGAAAAGAAAGCACAGCTATATGATTGAAAGAATTAAAGGGCAGGTCACACAGAAGGAGAAGATGTTTTGCATAATATATCAATGGTCCGGTGCCCAGAATATTTGAGGATTTATTGTATAAAAACAACATATAATATATTAAAATGTGCAAAAAGAATTGAACAGTCTCTTCACAGAAGAAAAATATCTAAATTGATAACCAACCTAAGAAAAGATGTGTAATTAAGTATGCAAAACTTAAATCGCAACTTAACATTGACCACTTACCCACCCGAATGTAAAGTGAAGATAAATTGACAGTGCTGAGTATTGGTGAGGATGTGAAGCATCAGGGGCTCTATATACCACTAGAAGGAACATAGTCAGGTATGGTTGCTTTGACAAACTGTATTTGTGATGTTTACTAAAGCTAACATGTGTATCCTGTATGACCCAAAGATTCTCCTAGATATGTATCCACAGAAATGTGTGTATAAGGACACCAGTTGATATATACAACAATGTTAATAGTGTAATTTTTTACTAGCCAAAGGCTGGAAGAAATGCAAATTTTATCAACAATAGAAATTATGGCATATACACAATGCAATATATATTATGATATAACTTAACAGTATATACACAATGGAATGCTCTAGATAAATGAGAATGAACAAACTACCACTTTATGCCATAATATGGAAAAGAATAATAAATATAATATTGCATAAAAATGCCAGGCACAGTGGTGCATACCTGTTATTCTAACGGTTCAGGAGGCTAGGGCAGGAGGATTGCAAGTTCAAAGCCAGCCTCAGCAAAAGTGACATGCTAAGCAACTCAGTGATTCTCTATCTCTAAATTAAAAAAAAAAATACAAAAGTAAGGCTGGGGATGTGGCTGAGTGGCCAAGTGCCCCTGAGTTCAATCCCTGGTATCCTCCCCCACGAAAATATTATTGCATAAAAATACTCTATGACCCTATGTTACTTCAAAAACAGGAAAAACAAATCTCTGCTGATAGGTGATTGAAGAAGGGTCACTTTTAAAGAGTGTGAGTCAGGTTCATAGCTTTGGGGTAATGGCAATATTTCAAGGCCAGATCTGAATGGTGATCACATGGGCAAATTCATTCTGTAAAATCCATCAAACTATATACTAATRAGAAGTATATAGATTATACTGAAAAATACAAAGCTTACCAAGACAGCAACAATAACAAAACCCTGAGAGGACCTGGGCAAATTTACATAGGGYCCAGAGTTCTTTGCTATCTTTCTTTTTTTTYCTTTTGTTTTGCATGTTGCTACATGTCTTTGTAGTGCTGATGCTGTCTCCATTCATACTTTCCATCGCTTCTGTCTGCTGACATGGCTCTATCCCTTTCTTCTATCCTGCCCTTTGCTTTCAATCTGAACTTGACATATTGATCCTGATCCTTCCTCTAGTTGTTCTGCCCTTGGAGCGGATTTCTTATTCTCAACTTCCATTTCAATATTTCACGAAAAGTCCCTCACATCAGGTTTGTTCTATTTCTTCTGAAAATTTAGTCAATGACCTTCGTTTCATTTTATTGTTTAAATTTTCATTCCTTTATCCTATCTTTTCCTATTGTTGTCTAAGGAATTTTATGTTCTTGTTAGTGATGATTTCATAATTACTATTAGATTATTTGCTTTATGGCCATCTTTTTAACCTCCCCAATCCTCAACTTTTAAAAAAAGTTCTCTGTGTTTCTGCCTAAGATGGTAGGGGTGAAGGTTGTGAAATAGAATCTCTTTCTTATTTTTTACCCTCCAGCTCCAATAAAGAACCAGATGATCTGACATGCGATAGGAAAGGGAGGTGGAAGGAAGAAGATTCAAAATAATAACTAAAACAAGTGCTTCCCAGTTGCCCAAAGTGGTTTAACAGATTACTTTCCTTACAGATTTAGCTAAGAAGCCGTCTGACCAGAGTCCACTCAAGAAACTATTTGGCCTTGCTTTTTTTGTTCTTGTTGTTGTTTTTGAAAGAAATCCTCTAGTCCTCAATTGGAGACACTGAAGAAACCAGAGAGTTTGTATTTTTTTTTTTCTCCAATCCATATGAAGGTTTTGGCCAGGAGTTTTTCAAACACTGGAATAAATTTTTAATTTGGACTTTGATATCCAGACAAGCCCAGCTCATGTTCTCTTGGGTCTCCTTCCCAAAGACCAGACTTCAAACAGCCCCTGCTCACTGTCTTAGCAGATTCAGGAGAAAGGCACTGTGGCAGCCACCGCAGCAGCTGTCCGCAGAAACCGCTGTGCCTTCGCCTGCTGGCACTAGAGCCCTCCTCGCTGCACCCTATTCTGTGGACCTGACACGAAGCTCCTCAGCCACATGGACCCTCCATGCAAGAAATGCTGGGTGTGCTGCATGTCCACCTGAGGACCCTATCTGGAGCATTCTCAGTATCACAGAAAGAATCTTGAAGAAAAAAGGCAAACTAATGCTCTGTCATTTGGCTTTATTATTTGCCTCTCCATATCTGACTTTGTCTTTCACAATTTGGATTGTGGAAAAAATCGACATATTTCTTACAGATGAGATCCCAGAGAGGCTTGAGTTTAACTCTTAGTTTAACTTTGTGACCACTTGGCTGGCAAAACCGAGAACTGGAAGGAGAAAAAAGAAACTGAGTTTTAGCGACAAGTACCTCATTTCCTCCTGGAGACCTAGATGGGAGACTTAGAAGGAACTGAAACTTAATACCCAGAGTCCCTCAGAAAAGTGACCACCCTGGGGCTGTTGCCCTCATTTCCTGTTAATTGTCACCTGAAATAACCAGTTGTGGAAATGGCATGGAGGCCTGAAGCAAAGGAATGTCGTTCGGGGAATGTCTGGCACATTCGGGTCCTATAACGAAATACAAATGATTTAACAGCAGTACTGACAGGGTTCTCAGAATAAATCATTTCCATTCTCACCACTTCAAATCACTTAATGTAATTGCCCTGAGACAGAGTGAGGGAGTCAGCTATTGGTCACCCAAGATCTGGGACAACTCCCCCCAGTTACCTCTGAGGATAAATTGCACTTCTGACCTAATTTACAGTTCTTCCCTAAGGCTGAAAGGCAAGTACTCTTTGATGGAACCCTTTACTTCCATCCTGTGGCATTGACTCTGAAGTTGTCTCATGTATGCCCAGCAGTTTACATGTGTTGCTGTTGCTGAGTTAGCTTGGCTTTTCCACCAAATCAAGTGGCCAATCAGACCTGCCATGGTTTTAATGTTTGTGCCCCAAATCCATGTTGAAACCCAATTCCCAATGTAATAGTATTAGGAGGCAGGGTCTTGGTGATTAGCCATAAAGGGTCCATCCTCATGAATGGGATGAGTGGCCTTATAAAGGGCTTGAGGGAGCGAATTCACCCTTCCATCGTCTCTACCATGTGAGGACTCAGCACAAGACATCTTCTTCTAAGGAGAAAACCCTCACCTGACACCCTAACATTGGACTTTCCGAGCCTCTAGAACTGTACAAAATAAATGTTATCATTTACAAATTATCAAACCAATTTTATTATAGCAGTTTGAATGGGCCAAGACAAGACTGTCACGCCTTTGTGTATTTCCCTCACTTCCTCCCAGTCTTTTTCTTAACCTATTGCAACAAATAAGGCTTAGAACCKCTCTTACTCTTTTGGAAAGTCCAAGTCCCTCTATGCACTGGACCATTCAAGAGTTACCAGCCCCTATGAACTGTGACACATATTTGAAGTAGTCACTTTGTCCCCTTGGCCTCCTCAGCATTGGCCATGCCTATGTGGGCTGAGAACACCTAGAAAGAGGAACTTGGTATCTTCCATTTTGTGTCCCCACCATCTGCCAGAGCATTCCTGGAATGAGAGAAGGGAGCAAGAGAATGGAAAGAATGACAGGAGAAAGTCTTGGCCTGGTGGTTCCATTCTCTGGGTCTATTTGCAAGCCAATAAAGTTCAAAGGAACAGAACTTCAGGGAAGCTTCTTGGAAAGTCTTTAGGTCAAGACAAAACTCGGATCTGAATACCATCACAGTATCAGTGGGATAAGGATGCCAGGCAACCCCTACCCCTGCCAAGATTATTTAATACTCCAAGTTGTAACCCTTTTCAACACCAGGTGGCCTTCCTGGACAGATCATGTGACCAGGCTCCCCCTCTCCCACTCACCATCATTCCATGATGGCCAAGTATTCATTCCCAACGAACAGATCCTGCCACTCTATGGTCAAGTATCAGAGGCTCACTCCCAGTCTCCATCAGGCCTTCAAGGCTCCCAACCATTGCCCAGGGCCCCATCCAACTCTCCAGACTCCTGAGGATCCTCAGGCCAATCCTTTTATTATATCCTGCTTAGTCCTGCCATGAACTTAGTCTCTCCTGTGCCAGAGGAGTGGGTCTTCATCYTTTATTTCAGAACTGGTCAGGATACTGTTTCAAGAAACCTCTCTGAGGGACCACAATCCAGCAGATCCTTCTCATAATTTTATCTCCTACTTGCTTGGGTGCMCCATCTGGACCATATCCTCTATAGCTTCCTCCTCTCCCTTCTCCTCCTCCATTCTTTCCATCAATGCATTTTTAGCAATCCATATTGGGTGCTGGGCCCACACATCATAAGTGAGAGCCTGGCTCTGTCACAACACTACTCTGCCCCCACCCGAGGCCAGGAGGGTCACACCCTCATGCCTCTTGCATAAACTTACTATTTCTGTGAATAAAGAGGTGGCATTGGCCAGAAAGGCACGAGTCTTACCAGTTGGGCTGCAGCTACCAGGGTCTTTCTCTTCAAAATTTCATTTCACTTAGGAAATGAAACTRCCATGCGAGCACCAAGGGACACCTTTCTTGGAATTCAAGACAGTAGCCTGGATTCAAAAAGTGGCCCACAATCAGGATAGAAGAGAAGAGTGCATCTCCCTCCTCACCCTGYACTCCTCATACAACAAGTGGAGAACCTCAGGTGAGTTTGTCCTGTTGACAGGGAAGCAAGTGGGGGAGACAGAGGCAGGGAGTGGAGGAGGCCCTGGGCCAGATTGACACCTGACAGTCCAGTCCATGATACAGTGGCTGGACCAAGACAAGGGTCAGGATTTGGACACAGGGGTCGTGCCCTCCCTCCCTTCTAGGCATGATGTCAGCCTGAGCCATGACTGACTGGGCCTGTGGAGAAGGAATCTTTGGACACGGGCCTAAGGCTTTGAGTTCACTCCTAGTGGGTGACAAAAGCAAGATGGTTATTTGTTTTATGGTAATGATCTCCACRAGGCCCCAGACTCTGAGCTGCAGTCGGCACGCCACACGGCAGGCCTTCCTCTGGGTGCAAGAGGATTTCCTTGGTTTTGTGGGATTCATTTGTTTTTAAATGAGCCTGTTTATTTTCTCTTCCTTTAATGTTATGATTTTTTTTTTCGGGGCTCACGAGGAGGATACATAATGTACAGCCGAATCTGCAATCTCCTATTTTGTCAGCTGCTTGTGTTGATTAAAACTTCAATAAAGATCCTGTGATAAAACAGAGCTATGTTCAAAGGATCTTGTTATGTTTGTAAAAGGCTGAGCTTGGCAGAAAAGATGTAGAGTATAGGTTTGCTACCTTGATATTTCCCCCTTTCCCAGGATACAGAGGAAGACAACTGGGGGAGAAACGTACAGTGATTTCTAGYACCTGTGGGATGGTTAGAGAGCACACGTTTAACCAAGTCCCAAATAATAAGCAAGGTCCAATTTAGATGACATGGAAATTATTTATCAAACTGGTGTCAAAGTYGTGACCCAAGAGCCCTCTCCTCCCATATGTCTAACTGACATCCCTATAGGAGGTCAGCCTAACACAGACGAAGGGGAGAGAGCCATAGGCAAAGTGAAGTCATRGGCCTCCAGGAATTCCATACCCAGTGAATCACCCACCTCGCCCAAGATGGTGCATTCCAGCAAGATTCCACTCAGCTGCCAGGAACACATTGCTTTAAAGTCTAGGGATCACTCAAGGATCCCAAGAGAGGTGTCAGTGGTGCCCACCARCTCCCCACCCCACCATCCTCCTTTCCCCAGACAGCTCCTTCCTGGCAGCCGCCTGTCTCTCCACTCTTATTCTGAAAGAGGCCAAAAAAATGGCTGTGTGTGAAAATCAGGCTAGCCAAAGTCGCTGACTTTATGCAAAGCAGGCAAGTGCAGTCAAAACACTTACAGCAATCAATTCGAGTTGTTGGGTAAAGTTTTTTCCATGTCCCATACATTATTGAACAGTTAATTTCGTCTTTGTGCCTGCAAGACATTCCAGCTCTCAGATGACAGCTTTATCCATTAAGGAGCGCGTGGTGACAGCCCTACAGTGAGAGTCTTGCCAGCCCAGCCTGCCGGGAGGCGCGCCTGCATCACCACTGAGAAATCCTGGGACACATCAACATCTTAATCAATATGCGAGAGTCAATTACCGGGGAAKCGAGGGCTTAAGCAGAGCTGATGATGAGGTTCACGTGCAAAATGGGCTTGATCAATACACAGCTGCCTCTCACACGTGGCTTCACAGCAGTCCTCCCCCTGCACCCAGACCCCACCCTCAGGCCAACCACACCCTCTCCCAGCATCTTTTCCAACCTGTCAATCACCTACTTTACTGGGGCTTTCTTGGCTCATTTCCTTAATGGGTGTATTGGGAATGGTGAAAGGAGGATCTAGGGGAACAACCAAAGCCAAATCTGTTTGATGGTCTACTTGGAATCAAGATTTCCTTCCTCCACAGGCATGTCCAAGGGGACCATTACATACAGCCTGTCTAGCTGAGAAAGGGGGCCTATGAGGACCCCTTATCCATGACCAGGTTCTCTACCACCTCTACCGCTCCTATACCTTAACTTCTTACTGGCCTCGAAGCTCACACGTTGCTACTGCATCTGTCCTGCACTGGCTGTCAATCAGTTGGACTATATCAAATGTGTCCCCAAAGACTTTCAATGTCTTCCTGAGTAATAACACCCAAATTCCACATTTGCAGCTTCTTATGATTCAGGGTCCCATTCAGAGTCTCATGTCACTAGCCCAACTCTCTTCCATGCTCTTTTACACCATCACTCCTCCACCTACCTCATCTCTGATCTCATCTTATCCACTATGATTCCTGGCCAAAAGTTGGTGGTCCCACCTTTATTGGTTTGAGATTTGGATTTAAGCTGGATGTTTGTATATTTGTCTTTTCCATGAAATTATCTGCTCCATGATAACAGGCCTTGTAAGACTGTTCATGACACTATTATTGAACAACCCTTAGGGGAGCACCATGTCCCTGGATCCTTTCCGTGTGATTGTAGATGTTGTCTCATTGAAGCCTGGGATAGGAGGTCCCCTTGTCCTCCAGCTCCTACCCTTCCTCAAGTTCCCTTATTGTGGTCCTGCACCAACCTGCTGGCATAATTCAGCCTTCTTTGGAGGCCCTGAAAGAGTTCACTTACACAATACTTTGATGACAAGTGTAGACATCACTAAGATTTGGTAAGGGGTCTACAGCAGACAACTTAAATCCTCATCTCCTTTGTCCCTCCTCAGGAAACCAGAACTTCCCCCCTCCCATGGCTCCCACATGCAGCTTCCACTCACTGGATCATGGTCTTCAGGTTCTCACCCCTGTTCTCAAATTATTATCCTACTTATTCTACAACATCACTYTCATCTTCAAGACAAATAGACACTCAAGCTACTAGGAGAATGGGAGGTTGTTACATTCCTTCATCTCCTCCCAGTCCTGCCAATTTTAAGGATACACAATAAGAAATGATGAAGGAAGAAAAGTCTGAGAATGAAAAAAGACAAAGCTTCTCTCTTCTCCCTTCTCTATAGGTGAGGAGAATTGCTGATGGGCTCAGTGAAGTCAAAGAAATAGARTTCTAGATTCCGAAAGCCAAGAAAGCCTGGAAGGAAGGCCTGGCRCACAGGAAACAATGGGATGCTTCTAGTGGAAAGGAGGCTCGGAGGCTCTGAGAGGCAGAAGGGGATCTAGCAGGGTACAGAGAAGAGCAGGCCATGCTGGTTCCTGCTGACTCTAGGTGACCACCAGGTAGGCTCAACAGGGTGAGAAAGGAGGTCTGGAMCTGAGAGAGGAGATGAACTCCTCACAATAGTTCCTTTTTCTTTTGTATAACTTGGAAACTCAGGAGGATGTTTGTGMAGCGCTTGGTGTTCATRTACAGGGGCAGCAGTGAAACCCCAGGCCCTAGGAGTGGGCTGCCTCTGGGCCTTAGGACTGCTGTTGACTGTATGTAGAGGAAATGGGGAGGTGCAGCAGGTGTGGGCGAAGAGAAGTCGTGTTAAGGCATGGAGGCAGCTAACACACACTATAGATAGACCCAGTGTTTTAAAGGCCTTCTCATGAATAATATCTAATTTAATTTAGTCTTGACCGTAGCTCTTTGAGATATCTGTCATAGCACCATAAGAATGGAAACAACAGCCAAGTGAGGTGGCACATGCCTGTAATCCCAGTGACTCGGSAAGCTGAGGCAGGAGGATCACGAGTTCAAAGCCAGCCTCAGCAAAAGCGAGGTGCTAACTAACTCAGTGAGACCTTATCTCTAAATAAAATACAAAATAGGGCTGGGGATGTGGCTCAGTGGTCAAATGCCCCTGATTTCAATCCCCAGTAGCCACCCCCCCCCCGCAAAAAAAAGAATGGAAACAACAACCAGAAAGTATAGGCAAAGTGGCTTTGCTCAGATCACATGATTTGCAAGATGGGAACTAGAAGTCCAACTGGGATTGAAGGGTGCATGCAGAATGGAGTTAGATCAGTTCCTTTTTCATGCAGGACACTGAATATGAGCCTGGAAGGGTTCAAGGTCTGAACCGGCTGCTGATTGAGCATGATGGGTGTGAGGTGCCATCTGAAGATGAGAGGTTAAGCTACTTTGTCTCCTCCACCCACTGCAAGTTCTTTGAGGCTGGAGAAAAGCCATTCAGAACAGCAGCAGCAACAACAATGACATCTACCATTTATTGGATTACTATATACCAGGCTCAATGCCAGGAGTTTTACACGAATTATTGTATTTATTCCTCCCAATCACCCTATAATCCCCATTTTATAGATGAGGAAATGGGTATAGAGAGATTAAATAACTTGTCCAAATTCACACACTAAGAAGTGGAAAGATTCAAATTCAAGTCTATCTGACTTTAGCCCTAGATTCCTTTGAACTCTTGACCTGCAGTTAAAAGTCTGAGGACCTAAAGGAAATAGTACCTTAAGGGAGTTTCCTTTTCACAATATGCAAAAGCATAGGCATAGGGAAATTTTCATCAATATTTTGGTGGAATGACCTCTATGTTAATTTCATCTGAGAGCATTCCATTGTTCATCCACTTATTAATTGAACAAACATTTTTCAGGGCCTACTGTGTGCCTAGGCACTGTGCCCTAGGACAAAGAGGTAGACAAGACAGGCTTGGTCATCTCAAAGCTAACCAAGAGCCAGATGGATGGTCATTGGTAGTCAACATCCCAAAGGAAATGACCAAGAGTCATGGGAGCCCACCTGGGTGCYTGATCCTGTCCAGGATGGGACCATAGAAGTTTCTTCAGGGAAACCAGGCAGAAAAGTTGCTCTTTATGTCCTAAGCCCTGGTTGCATCCTCATTTTTTTGGCTTCAGCAATATCTCTTGAGTCTCTTCTCCGGAGAGATACAGACAAAGAGATTGGATGCTTGCGTTAAATACAAGACACAGGGCAGATGACTTCAGGAGACATTTCTTAGGAAGAACTGATCAGGCTCTGCCTGAYTGCCATATAGACTAGAGAGGTGACATGTGTGGACCCTGGAGAAGGACACACAATTCTGAACAAAAACCCACCTCTTGTAGCTCCACATTCTAAGAGTGATCTTGGGTCAATCATGTCCCATCCCTGAGCTTATTCCTCATCCAGAAAACAGGAATAATAATAATAATAATAATAATAATAATAATAATAATAATAATACATTCTTCATAGAATCGTGATTGAGGACTCAATGAGACTGTGAACCCAAATGAAGCAAATTGCATGGTGTGTGGGAAGAATACAATTTAAGGTAGTTATTGTTATTAATAAATGGCTACCATTTTTTAACTATTGTTAATATTAAACAAGAGGAGAGAGTTGAACTGGCGTAGCATTTCACATATGGGTAATCAGGAAATTGGGGACATTGCCTAAAATACGGAATCCTGCAAGGGGAAAGGTTTGTTTGGAGACATGTTGAATTTGAGGCAAGGCCACCACGTTTAAATGTCCCACAAGAAGGAGCTGAGGACACAAGACTGAAGCCCTAAGGAAAGGTCAGCACAGGGCATAGAAATTGGCATAGAAATCACAGCTAAAGTTTCAAGAAATAGATGAGAAACTCTAAAAAGGGAATAGAAATAAAGGGCAGAGAGCTCAGGGCCGCCTTGGGCAGCTGCCTTATTTGGGGGCAGGAGAAGGAAAAGAGAAGTGGCTCTCGTTGTTGGTACAAGAGG